CAAATTTCGTTGACAGTTTCCTCGTTATTCTAGGTACCGGTATGACCTATCAGTTGAGGAAGCTGCTGAACTTGCCCGACGAGCAATTTATCATGCTACATTTCGTGATGGGGCCAGTGGTGGAGTTGCTAGCGGTACCCTCTCTCTCCCCCATTTACTCAGCTACATTTGCATACTGACTTCTATATGTTTATGACATTGTTGCTATGCTCACCCTCACCAATAATTAAATAGTATTTATACACAACAAACAATTTCATGATAACTCAATTGATATACCTCATAAGGTACACTTGCACTTCTGCTGGAGCACAATTGTTCATGATCACCCAAAACATGATGTGCATTTTATTATGTCCAGTTAAATGAATAATGGAAAATAATCCATGGTTCGTAACTTGGTAGGATGAAATATTAATGTAGTAATATTATTGTTGTTATCACTGATTTGGTGAGTACTTTTCAGCAGCTATTTTAGATGCATAATTTATAGCTATAAATTTGTAAGGCACGAAATTACTGTAATTCACTAATTTGGAGATTTATATGATTTTAGTTTACTATGTCGGACCAAATGGATGGAAGAAATTGTCGGGTGATGATGTTGGGGAACTTCATTACCATTACTACCCAGTTACCCCAAGCACCGTGGAACAAGAAATGGTGGAGGCAACTGGAGCTTGATGAAGTAACTCATGGATATCTTTTAAAGTCTCCGTTGCTTGCCAGCTTATGTTGAATCAATTGCATGAAACTGATTACTTTATAATTGAAAATTGACATTAGTTTGATAGATCCAAGTGTTGTCCTATCCTGATTTGTTCTAGATCAAGTCATATTTTACCATCGAAAATGAAAGATAGAGCCATATACAATGTGGATTGGTTTAAATGCGTAAAGCACGATAGACACGTATGGCTATCTATAGCTAATGTAATCAATCTTGCGATTAATAGTTTTCATGACAACTTCCGAAAGTTGTACGAGAAACTTACCAAGGAGAATTGTGGTTCAATGTTTTCCGATTGGTTGTTGTAGTTTATAAGCATACTTTTGGTACATCCTGGTTGTATTAGTTCATCTTTGTCAAAGTGATACTTAAATTAATTGTTGGACTTGATAACATAATCGAAAAAAACACTTAAATCACATAGGCGATTAGGATGAATCCATAGAGTTCTTATATTAATCTAATTTATTCTATGAAAAGTTTCGATTTGTATCAGCGAGGGTGGTATTTGTAGTAAAATTACTACACAAATCTTGGCATAAATTACATGTGAAGTGAAGTTACACCAAATTGAATTTGATTTTGGTATATCATATTTGTGTAATGGTCTGTTTGGATTTGTGTCAGATAATAAGGAAGAGAGAATTTTACGAATTTATTTTAGCGGATACCGATTCAAAAGAAATTCATCGTCATGAGGATTCAAAAGGTTAGATAATCGTATTTTCCAAACACAGAATTAAAGTTCTTTTTGTTTTAGATTCGAATAAAAACCATTTTAAATTCAAGACTTTTTCAAGACCATTCAAGACTTGTGGTCAACCAACGGTAACTTGAATCATGTTATGGGATTATGATTTGTTAAAGTACTCTAATGAAGTAGATATTTAGTACTTGGTTAAATGGTGAATGAATGGATAAAGTTATTGCAATATTAATATTTTATTCTATTGTTTAATTGCTTTGTATTATATAAAATTATCTTAATTTTTTTTATATTATAATATATTGTATTTGTTACTTTTTTACTTATTAAAATATCATAATTTAGTTTATTAATATATGTTATTTTTTAATTTTTATTTTAATTTTTAATCCTATTGAAGCTATATATGTTATATTGTATGTTGGTAAAAGAGGATCCTTACCACATTAAGAGAAATAAGAGTAATTGTAATACAATTTTTTTAATTAAACATTTAATAAAAAAAATTAATCTTATAAAAAAAAGGCATTGTTCTAATAAAATATTTTTGTTTTAAATAAATGTAGAAATTTAGAGAAGATAAAATAGAAAATAAATTAGTAATTTTATTATTTTTATCTTACTAATTTATATCATTTTGTTCCTCTAATATAAAATAAGTTACAAAAAATTATGAATTCACACATAAATATAATCTTGGACAAAAAGAAAAAAGAGAAAATTTTATGAGACAATTGTAATATATAAAAAAAAATAGGCATTTTTAATTTTTTATCACAAAAATATATTTTTTTAAAATTATTATATTTTTCAATAAAAAAATTATAAAATATCTTATTGCCCTACTTAACAAATTTTATGAATTCGTCACTATCGATCTATTCTCGATGATTTCTCGATGATTAACCTTTATTACTTCTATGGTGGTTTAACATTTATCATTGTTTTATTTCTATCTTTTAGGTGGTTAAGTATATTTGTTTTTGTTAAGTGATTAAATATTGTTAAGTGATTAAATATTTGTTTTTAGTTTCTGCTTAGTATCATGTATTTTTTTAACCGTTTATTCAAGTCATTTTTACGTTGTATTTGTCTTGATTAGATATAACTTGTATTGTTCATCTCAAGATGTAGGTGTTGTAAACACTTTTCAACTTGCAGATAACTATTAGATATGTAACTTGTAATAAGTAGTTGGCCTATATAAAGTTTCTCACAGTGATATTGTAAAATCATTATTCATTTTCAATACATTACATTTCATTTTCAATTATTTTATTGTTCTATCTCTCTATATATATATATATAATATTTAAAACTTATATAAATAAATATTTTTAAAACATAAATTATATTTTATATTTATAATAAATAATTTATATTATGATATGAGATTAATTTTTATCATTAATAATTATTTTAAAAATATTAAAATTTAATTTATAGATAAATATGATAAATAAAAATTAAATTAAATAAGAAATTAAAAAATTCCATTAAAAAAAATCCTAAAAATGTTTTAACGCAAAGAAAAAAGAAAAAAAAAACAAATAGTGTTTAATATATGTGGACAGATTACCGTTGTTTACCTCTAATATAATTAAAATAAGTACAACTCAAGTTTTATTTGATTATATATGCATGCTTATAATTTACATTTTAATTAAAACTGTTTTCTCAAATTTTCTTTGCAATATGAGTATGAACTTGTTTAGCTCTTTTATTCCTTTTCTTCAAATTAATTGATCTTTCCGTTTTGGTATCATGTTGGAATATTTTCTAACATGATTTTAATTTTTTTATAATTTAGTTTCACGTTAAGAAATTGATTTTAATTACAAAATTTATTGAGCTAAAGTAAGTTTGTATCAGTTAAAAAAAAATCTTGCTTTTAAAATAAAAAGAAGTTTGAACATAAATCAAATAATTCTAAAAATAATTATGTAAGCGAATATTCAAGCACACATTAAATATCTTCTAATGTCGTGCTTTTACGTCTTCTGGTGAGATAGACATTTTGTGTTAAATAATTGAAATTGCATAACTTCGTTCATCAGACGTATTTTCTTCTGCATGTACAATGAAGTCAAAAGGTTGACATTTATTTTATTATGTGTAAATGGAGACATTTTTAATAGATATTATTTAATGACAAAGCAGTTTTGAAATTTTGATACAAAATATATATTTTTCATGTATAAAGAGTATATATAATTTTATAATATTAAGTTATATCCAGAAATATAAGTTATATGTTCAGAAATATTTATTTATAATATATTTTATATGTTTAAGAGAATTTATTCATTATAAAATTATTATATAAAAAAAGTATTTGCATTACAGAAGTTAAAAATACTAATTATCTTTGGAACCTATAACTTTTTCTTTTCTCTTTCAACATGTAGGTGTCAATTAATATTTAAGTGTGTACACATTAAGGTGGATGCATTGATGGGTGAGTTGTCATAATTTATTTATATTTATATCAATATAAAATGAAAGTCAAATATGTTAAAATATCTTTTATAAATAAATAAATAAAAAAATCGTCCTAGTTGTATCACTCGGAGAAGTGGAGAACCATTAATATAACATATTGGTTCTTTGATATAGCCATATAATTATTATTTTTTAATTATAACAGATGGATATATCCTACTAGTATTATAATGAATATAACTTAACGCGTTGATGTGGCTTGTTATTGCATTTGTTTGGACTTTGGATAACAAATGTTAAGATGAATTCGAAAACTGGGAAGTAATCAATTTGATGCAACTGATTGATTAACTAGAATAAGCGGGGATTGAGAAGTGAAAGTAAGTTGGATAAGAAACCCATGATGAAACTTATATGCTAGGCATGAAATTTGATGATGAACAATGTGCAAGAGAGATAGTGATGGAGGACCAAATATGGCTATTCCATATGTAACGTGCTAGCAAGGTTGCTCCACATTTTCAATCATACCAATTGACGCAGAAACTTAATTTAATTATATATAATGAATCTTATAAATTTAGTAAATTACTCTAAGTCTAAACAACACCACTGACAGATAGAATATAAAGATTAAGGACGTACTATCCAATGCTCAAAGCACTGTTTAGACAAACAAAAAAAAGATTAATAATAAATAAGACAGGTTAACATTAATTGTACACATCAATATGATTAACGAATGAAGATAATATTTTACATTATATGACTCAATGATTGTATGAAAATATAAAATGACATGATAAACTTACACATGTTAGTACCGCAGAGGGACACGTGTTGAGCGCTTATTGTTGGCGGTGGCAACACTCGCACTAATGCGGAAGCAGTTTCCCGTTAACGGTGGCTTCCGCGTTATCCAATTTCAACTTCAACTTGTCGTGCTATTAATTATTTCTTTGTTGTTGCCCCACCTATAGCATGCTGACACGTACCCATGCCGTGGCCTCTAAAATATTGGAACACTCTGGGCAGTTTCCTCTTTAATCTTAGTATTTATCTTCAACACGACCTCCACACGCCCCTTAAACCGACATCACCCAACTTATATAACACCACTTGCACAATCCCATGTTTCATACCATTACCTTAACACCATAACATATAGTAACTCCATTCTCCATTTTTTTTGTAACTTACCTTTGTGTTACACACATACTATAGATTTTACTGGTTTGTGATTAACACGATCAAGATCAAGACCATAATATCAGCATTAGATTAGTACTACCACCAACCAATACTAGGATCAAAATCACGACCAACCAATACTAGGATTGGTACTAGGTACACCAACCAATACTAGAATCAGTACCACAACTGGCACCAGAATCAAAACCACGACCAAGTAGTACTACCCCACTCCACAACGAGTTATATTTGTGTGCATTGTAAGATGGAGAGGCACGTGGGGTTTGAGGATGTTCTAAGATATTTTGATGAAGATGGGGATGGGAAGGTTTCGCCTTTGGAGCTGAGGAAGGGGTTGGGAATGATGGGTGGGGAGCTTTTGATGAAAGAAGCTGAGATGGCAATTGAAGCAGTGGATTCAGATGGTGATGGGTTGCTGAGTTTGGAGGATTTTGTGGCTCTTGTGGAAGCAGAGGGAGAGGAGCAGAAGTTGAAGGACTTGAAGGGAGCTTTTGAGATGTATGACTCTGAGGGGTGTGGGTTCATAACCCCCAAAGGGTTGAAGAGAATGCTCAAGAAGATGGGTGAGTCCAAGTCCATTGATGAGTGCAAAGGGATGATCAAACAGTTTGATTTGAATGGGGATGGCATGCTTAGCTTTGAAGAATTCAGAATCATGATGCAGTGAGCCATTTTCTTTTTCCTTCATTTTCTCCATATTGGAGGGTTAAGGGGATTTCATTTATCTGTTTGCACAACGTGCATGTCTATAACTCTTATTGGTATATTCTGTTTTTGTCTTGTGCAATCATACATGTATATTTTAAGAATAATAATATCTAGATATTCAAATATTTCTAGCTAACAGCTTATTGAGGTTTCATATTTTTGTTTATTTTTCCTTTCTTATTACATTATATATTTACTACACTTTTTTATTTTTAATTTTCTGGCGTATATTAATATATTAAGTATATTAGCTCAAGTATGTAAGATACTATTGTGGATTAGTAAGTGGAAGATGTTACTATTTACACCGTCTTTTTTGAGTTTTTATTCTTTGTGCCATTTGTCTTTATTTTTAATATTTTTTTTCTTCAGAAATTCATTGAACAGAAACTAATTTTTATTAGCTAAGCAGCTATTTGTGTTAATTAACTACGCTACAACTAGTTTTCATTAGAAGTGAAATGAAGGTTAAGAAAAACTTAGAAGGTGAAAAGGTTCTCTTTGATGAGAGAGGCCACCACAGGGTGTGAAGAAAAGTAGGGGAAGGGAAGAAGGAAAGTTTAAAAAGAAGGGGAATGAGGTGTGAAGAGAAAAGAGGGTTAAATTTATAATTTTAAATTATTTTTTAAGAAAATATAAATATAAACACACTACAGCACGTTAAGGGATAAAAAGGAATGTGAATAATTGGCCCTTACATAGGACTATCAAATAAATTACAAAACATTGTTATCCAGCCAAATGTGTCTCGTAATAAAATAATATCATCTCTATTTTTAATTATAAATAATAAATTTAATTTTTATTTTTTTAATTATAAGTAACAATTACTAAATTTTAAAGTTATCAAGAGTTAAATTTTTTTTTATGTATTATTAACTTTATTTTTTTATAGATTTAATTATAACTAATATTAAATATACTAATCATTTAACTAATATTAAATATACTAATCATTTAAAGTAATAGTTATATTTTAAATAAAATTTGAATTTATGCTAGAATTAATTAAAAATAACTATATTACATATTTTTATTAGTCTTAAATATTCGTCTTAAACTTTTTATAATTATAATTAAAGATAGTATTACATTATTAAATAACCTTATATTATATATATATATATATAAAGAAAAAGAGCAAGTTATTCTTGAACATGATATAGATTGATAGTTTCTAAAATTTTAAAAATCTTTTGCTAATCTTTATTTTTATAAAAAGTCTTTCTTTCTAGTTTTCATTCAATGTTTTACATAAATAGTAATAATAATAATAATAATAAATAAAATAAAATAAATCAAGTAACATTTTACAAAATTAAAAATTAATGTTTTTGAAATTACAAGACTTCAAAAGTCTAAAAAGAATAATTTAGAAATGTGAAATTAACGCATTCTTTAACTCTCCTTCAAACACACTCATTTCTATTGATTAAATTTTATTTTAAATCATAAAATTATATACGTATCATATTTTATTTAATTATCTTTTTTATTTTCTTATTTTTACTATATCTCAATTTATAAGAAAATATGTGCTATTAAAATTCTTTGAGATTAAATTTGGACTAAATTATATAATTAGTCTCTATATATTTTTAGAATTCAATTTATTTTTATTATTTTAAAAGATTTAATTTAATTCTTTAATTTTAAAAATAATATTCAATATTGTCTTTCCATTTTAAGAGTGGACAGCAGGTGGATTCATTCAGATTCAAGTGAAAAAAACTGGATTCAAACTAAACGGATATAGAAAATACATGGTCTGTTACCAATCATAAACTCTTTTGAATTAGACAGGTGGTGGGTGACTTGGGTTACGGGTAATTCAAGTGGGTTCATTGGATTTAACAGGAGAAACTTTTTTTTTTAAAGAAGAAGAATAAAAGCTACTTTAAAATAAAAGATAATGAGTATAGATGGAGTGAATAAATCCTGTAAAATCATTAAAAAAAAGTTAAAATAATTAAAATAATGTAATTTTAGATTTCAAAAATATCAGAAATTTAGAATTGATGAACTCAACATGCACCTTCCTGAACTTGCTTTCTTGAAGACTCTTCCCTCATGGAAGTACAAACCACATAAGATAAAAGAAAGAAAAGAAAAACAAGGACAAAGTTATCTTTTTTTCATATCCCACAACATAAGTGACACACTTATTATTAAATTTGATGTTCGCACTTTGTGAGATCTTTCAATTAAAAAGATGTTTTTTGAAACGGCAAAGAATTTTCTTTTCTTCTGCAAATTTTTTCATTCATAAAAAACAAATGCATGAAGTGATAGGAGGTTTATCCCTTTCCACCACACAAGGCATGTAATAATGAAATATTATGCTTTATGATTTCCAAGAAAAAGTAATAATGTGCAGACTGTGTGCAATAAGGAAATTTTCAATCAATCAACTCTTACGTAAAATAGTAATATAATTACAAAAGTTGGTCGAGTTCGAATTTCTAGGGGTAAAAAAAAAATTTAACTTGCACCCGATTGTATCATTTCATTTAAAAACTGTCTTTTTTCAATCCATTGACCTATAACTCATTTGAATCCATTTGTTACATCTAAATTGAGTTTGATTTACTCGATTTGGGACGATTTGGTAATTTTGTCCGACTCTATCCCATTAATATGACATTAATAAAATTAAAATATATATTAAATTTTTTTTAAAAAAATTAAAATATATTAAATTTTTTTAAAAAAATTAAAAAATTAAATTAAATATTTTAAATTATATTCTTAAACTATATTTAATATTGTCCTCCAATCGATTAATGCCGTTAACATCAATTTAATCGAAAGAATAACACTCAACATTTAAAAAAAATCAAATAGAAGAATAACACTCAAACATTTAAAAAAATCAAATTACCAAATTGAACCATTTAAAAATAATTGAACCAAATTAAATCTTAAAAATAAATAATGAAATTAAAATTATAATTTATCTTTAAATTTATTAAAAGTAATGCAATCTAGCATTTCTACAATTTTACAAAGAACAAACTATAATACAGCATCTTCGCAGGTAAATGTTTGATATATTTGGCTTCAATATCAGCTCTATATCTAGCATTAAATTGTTTATTTGTTCAAAGCATGATAAGCCAACGGGAGTTCAGGCAGAAGCTAAAAATTCCTTACATTATTTTCATTAAAACAACGAAAAACAATATACGATTATTACATAAAACTATATGTAAACTTACGAAAAACAAACCTGAACTCCCTTTATTATTTCATGAAAAGAAATACAATATACCTTATGATTAAAAAATATATTGAAAAATAATTTAAAATGTAATTAAGTCGTGACATTTTTTCTTTTCATTCTAAATTTAGACGAACCCATCAACAACAAAAAAATAAAGAGGAGTAATTTGCAAGTTATGCTACTTCAAAAGTACAGTTGAGTTGCTTTTCTGTGTACAACAAACATACTATCAAATTCCCTCATTTACTTTAAATTTACTGTTAAAGTTGCTTATTTACCATCATTATGACACCCATCTTTCCATCCCTGCAAAACACAATCGATTTACAAATATTCAAACGTTTGAACCATTATAATACCCTCCCGCAACACATACATCCATAGCTTACCCAATTCTCATTATATTGAAAGAATAGAAGCATGGCATAAGTTGAATAAGATTTTCATTGATTTGCATTCTTAAGGAAATTCAACTAAAGGGGGCACTATCATGCATATGTACATATAACAGAAAGCAGTGATTATCTAAATGCTTATTGTTTTAGCATGTTCCATTAGGAGGGGAAATAAATGCTTTCACTGGGTCTATGACTCTTCTCTTTTTCTAGAGCGACACTTTCAACACGCGTCTTAAGAGGTGACGCCAGGGGATGAGGAACCAAAATAGATGCAGCAGAGCCTGGTCAAAATTCTGTTTAGGCTCCACTCCTTTCAAAACCCACCATCCCAGTTAAGGGTAAAAAAAAGCACTTATAAAACCTATATTTCATTTTATAAACGAAATAGCTCGGCATCAAGCCCTGCAAGCGTTATGAGGCCAGCAAAAACTACAAATACACAGGCTTCTGCACATGGGGGAAACATTTGTACAATGGGTTTTCTCACATGAAATAGCTGAGTGCTCTTTTTACTCTTGAACCACCTTCACCATATTGTTCATTCCATTGTTGAAGCTCGGTCATATTTATGGATTCAGAGGAAACACTAGCACAGACCTGTTTAAATATGACCAAGTTAATATATTTTGTATTTTTATCTTTTTGAGGTTTCAAGGGCAGAAGGAGAGGAAAGAGATTTTCTTTTCTGTACCTGTTGATGAGCATGTTTGAAGTCTTCCATGTTTAAAGATCGGATATCAGCACTTCCACTTAATGCGGGAGCAGGTCTACCTTCTGCGAGAGCAGCAGCCTGTTCCTGCCATGCATCAACAAATTACGCACAAGTAAGAATGGTTCGGGCAAAGTCAAACCATTCTAACTGTATCTTCACAATCGAGAAAAATGAAAAACTCAAAAAAGTAACTAGCATACTGCTGAGACATCATTCCAAAAAGCCATACCTTTTTTTCCTTTTCTAATATCTCTTTAATTGGACGGTGTGCAGCAGTTACACACAAGTTCTGCAATAAAAAAGCAAACATAAAGACACCCATAACATTAATTTTTTTTTAAAAAGTATAGGGTTAAAAAAAAATTAAAAAAAATATAAAAAAAAAGAACACGCATAACCTTAAGATCGCTTCCAGAATAACCATCAGTCATACTTGCAATTGCATCCATATCAACATCAGAAGACAAGTCCTCTTTTGCCAGTATAACTTTTAATATTTTTGCTCTATTTGGAGCGTCTGGCAAATTTACCATTAATCTGCAGAAGACCAATGATTAAAACTTCAAACATTTATGAGTTCCATTAAGCTCCCCCCAAAAAGAAAAAAACCTCTCCCAGTCCTCACACAAGAAGGAATTGAAGTGCAGTTGAACATTGAGTTCACCTTCGCGGCAGCCTCCGTATGACAGCCTCATCTAGGTCAAAAGGCCTATTAGTGGCTGCAAGCACAAGAACTCGCTCAGTATCCTTTGTGCGTAAGCCATCCCAATTCACCATGAATTCATTTTTCATCTTTCGCATGGCCTCATGTTCTCCGGGATTTTCCCTCCTGCCCAACATGCTATCAACCTATACAAGAAGCCATACTAGATTTCACTGATTTATATTTCAGCTAATGAATTAATACAAACTGAGAACATTAATGTAAAAGGCTTACTTCGTCAACAAATATCACGCTAGGAGCAATTTTAC